AAGTGGCATAATGCATGGTCACATTTGACTAATAATTGCTTGGTTTTTCGCCATGTGTTAAGGATGCAATTGAATTAGGACGAATTACATTCGATGATAAGAAGAAGATGATAGTGGATAAAAATCATTTTCCACAACCACTTGAAGTGAATATGGTGACGTCTGGCTTCAAAAACAAGTTGCCAAAATTCAAGTTGGTTATAGATGATGGAGAAGAAGACCCTGGACCACATCCCAGTGTCTTTGAGCGTATTAAAAGGAAGGAGCCAAAAAAGGATGAAGACGTCTTGTGTGCAAGATCTAAAAGAGAAGTGAGTGGGAATACGGAGAAACCAGGGATATGGCAGCATCCTCATCGCCCTACTTTCTTCCCAAACGCTCAGCCTGGTAGAGGGCGAGGTACATCGTTCTATAAAGGACCGCCTTTTGAGAGGCAGTTCAGGCCAGTAAATAATGGGAGAACATTCAGGCCGCAACCTCGCCAACCAAATGTATGGCATTCGTTCCAATATAATGCAGGAAAGGCGATACCCTTCAACAAGATGACTAGAACCCAACAAAGGCGTTTCCAACGAAATTATGGACGAATGATGAGGTAACAACAGGGAGTGCCACATCCTAAGGCGCCTAAACTACTCAAGGTAGCCAATCAAAATGTTCTCAAAGACAGTGAAGAGACTGGTACAGATGAATCAATGAAAGAGTTGCCAGAAGCTTCTTCTGGGAGATCGAAGTTTGAGCGAGACAGAAGGGATGGAGAAGAATCAGATCATCCCCTTACTATTCAGTTCGGTACGTTACCTTCTGTCGTGGCTAATAACTATTTACTAGCCAATGAGTTCAAGAATAAAGAGAAAGAAGAAGAAGAAAGAGAGGATAACGAAGGAGAAGTATGCGTGCTAGAATATGAAGAAGGACAGACTTCTAGAGAAGCCTACAATGGTGAGGAAGATGATGGTATGACAGATATTGAAGAGAAAATCGATCTGGAAGCAAAAAGAAGAAGAAGAGGAGTATCGTACAATACTCTGTTGAAACAACTACATCGAGAGGGAGTTCGTGAAGTAGACTTATTGGGAGAACCATCTGGGCGTTCTTTCGATTTTTACGTGCTGTACGGACGCCCAAAAGGAAGAAGAGAGTGACTCGCTCTGAAAAGTATGGATCACCTCCAAGAATAATGCCTCCTCCCACAGGTTGGGTAACTGAAGATGAAGCATTAGAAAATAGTAAAAATGAAATCAGGAGACAGAGGCTCAGTGCGATATGCTGGACATTGACTTATCACAAAAGGATAACTCGATAGAGGACAAGCAGGAAGTAGAAATAGAGGCTGCCAAAAAGGTTATTTTAAGCGGCCAGCCATGAAATTGACTAAACACTTGAGGCCATTGTACGTTAAAGCTCTAGTTAACGGCATACCTATGGCAAAAGTACTTGTCGATAATGGAGCAGCTATAAACACCATTCCATCTAGGATGATGAGGAAATTTGCAAAGACAGAAGGGGATATGATTCCAATAGAAGTCATCCTTACAAGTTTCAATGGAGGAGCAACTGCAGCTAAGGGAGTTATGTCATTGGACATAACTATAGTGACAACTACTAGGACCACAGTCTTCTTTGTAATAGATGGTCCTACTAGTTACAATATATTATTAGGAAGAGATTGGATACACGAAAGTCCCTGTATATCATCATCGCTCCATCAATGCCTAGTTTTTTGGAATAACAAAGGTGAGG